CCCCCTCTCTCCCTCGTTTGGCCTCTAAAAATCAATTGTATGCTACCAGCCCAGCACCAAACAGCAAACATACAAGTTAGAGACTTGCTAGTGAACACAGTGCAGCATTTTGCAGCTAAAGAGCTAAATATTTCCCAGAGGAGTCCGAAAACAGAGCTAAAAACAGAAAACAGAGAAACAGAGCTAAATCGAGTTTTAAGAAAGAAACTACAAATCGGAATGTTTCTCCCTATCTGCTGAACGTGTAGAAAAGCAACTGTTTTCCCCGACTGGTAAGTCAAAAAGGCTGATATATTGACAGATATACGCTTGCCATATCTTAAAAAGTGATCATATGTAAATTATTTCATGTATAAATTAAAGAAAAAAAACTGAAATTGATCTATTGCTACTTTTTTTTTTTTTTTTAATCCACAGCCAGTGTGTCACGGCTCAGGAAAAACAGAATTGGATCAAAATGCAAGCTGGCACAGGCAGCAGGATGAATTCAGTGATTTAATATAAGAATTAAGCTTACAGGCAGGTGCAGGCAGGTAGACATGTAGGTAAACAGATGTAGCTCCAGGCAAAGCAAAAAGCAAAAAAAACAACAACAAGGCAACACAGGGACAAAACAACCAGGACACAGAAACAAGGGAACACAAAGCCTAAACACACAGGTGAGGGGAAGGATCACCAGAGACAGGGGGGAAATAATCAGCGTGGGGCAGACAATCAAAACTGGAGGAAAAACAGGAATAAAGACAGGAAGAGGAGTGGAATTACAAACTAAAACAGGTAATAACTAAAGTAAACCCAAAACCATGACACAGTGCGATCTACAGGAAAAAAACATTGGCATTATAGCTCAGGCAGCAGTTAACATGCTAGCAGATTGACTATGCTTACATTACACATCACATATCACACGTCCAACATAGCTAACAAGAGTAGGTTTCTCCACCGAGATTGACACGTCTTATACTTATAATATTCAGAGCAGCAAGAAAACCTCTTAATTTGATTGAAAGTCATGTAATAAATCCTTGACCATCCCAACAGTCTGGTTCAATACTGTCTGTTCGCCTAGACTAACAACTGCTCCTATCACACAACAGTCCATGTGCGCAGGCAAAGGTCAGATCAACAATAACCGAGGGAGCGAGCAGACGAACCAGAGGCTTCTGGGTAGAAATAAAGGGAGGCAGGGATTGGTGGCATATGGCCTTTGCTGGTTTGACAAACAGCTCTGATGACCTTTTTGGCGAGTTGAGTTCAGAAATGCAAAGTAACTGGTTTTCCCTGAGAACCGGCGGTCATGTTAATGTGAGTGTGCAGGTGACAGCCACGGCCGGAATAATTGCATGCAATGAAAAATCTTGCCTTATTAGCGTCTCCGGCGGCTAATTGTGATGCCAGAATGTGTTTCATTATCTATCACGGCTGGCTCGAGCATGCTTGTGTAATGAAGATGACTGTATGGGAAAAGACTGTGATGGTAGAAGGGGAGGGGATACTTATAATGAAACAGCCACTTATAATGTAACAGCTGAAATGACTCGGGTGATTAGTTTCTTCCCCACATTAGCAATCCGAGCTTGTGTGTGTAAATGATAGTGCGAAGCTGCAGCATTTTCAATCCTCATTTCACATCTTTTCTCGTTTAGGAAAGGCAATATCATTTCCTCACCTCCCCTTTCTTTGTCGGTGGTTCTAACCAAACACTAGAGTGGCATTACCACCATGATTCGTTGTGTTGATATCCTAGTAGTACTTTTTATGGGCTGGTATTTCAAATTGAAACTGGCGCGGATGGGTGCCCACGTCCACGTAAAAACTAGTCGTAGATGACTGTCCATTAGAAGGTAATGACTGCTCATTTCTACCAGCAACAGGTATGCAAATATTCTAATGGATTGCACAACAAGAATACATAATCAAAAGAGCACCATCATTTCATAAATGGATAAAAGCAACAAAATGCAGCTGTTTTACCTTGAAACAACAGCCTCAAAATCATTTTGATGATACACTGATGTGTAATAGGGAGAGCAGTGCCTCTTTCGTTTCCATTTGGCGCAATGAACACCTGTTCTTGCTCTATAATTTGGGTTGCCAGATACCATTTCCCACACGAAGTTAATCTCGGACTGGCTTTTAGTTGTTGGTGAAATAAAAAGGTTGGAAGATAGACACTGAACTGGCCTTCTTGCTGTTGGACTAGTAGGTAATATTAGCTGGCTTGTTGTGTCTTGTGTCGCTGCATTTGCTTGATTTTTGGCTATGATAGAAAGCTAGTTTTTGAGTAATGTAATACGCTTACAGCTGTTCATATTTACGACAATGGTATACACTCTTAAACTGGGGGAACCAAATTGCAACAAATACCAATTCTTGCATAATATTGTATTAAAGCAGCATTTGGGGCATTTGTTATTTACATGAATTGTGCAACGGACAATTATTTTAATGAGTCTATAAAGTTTAAAAAACTTGTTTTGTCCGACCAATAGTACAAAACCATTATATTCAATCAACAATGGTATAAAACAGAGAAAAACAGCAAATCTTTACGTTTTCAGGATACAGTAAATGTTTTGCATTACATAGTTGCCTTCAAGAAATAACCTAATCAATTATCAAAATTGTTGTCCCACCACCATTTTTGGCTTCTATTTTATGTACAGGTGGTTCGACCAGCTCCTATATCTTAATAGCATGCCTTCCTGAGACTTTTTGTGCTCTATCAATGGCCATGTTTTTCAAACTCTTAGTCTCTAGTTTGTAACACTGGCCGTCTGTTTTAAATGTGTCCTTTCCAAGCCCATGATAACGTTGTTGACATCATCAAGGTCATTCTTTAGCATACTTTAGAAAGCTCCTCCGGAGCCGCAGATGTAGACCGAAGAGGTTTCATTCAGGTGCTTTATGTGCACATTCAAAATATGTCTAAAAACAAGTGGATATAAAGAATAGAAAGAGGACATGATGGCTGGGGTTCAAGGAGTAGGCACAATTAATATTTATAGAATGGATCATTTTCTGTTCACATTTTTGTATTCCAATTTTGGAAAATTGGTATAATTACCCAGAACCATCTATATAATTTACTACGTTAACTTTTCAAAATAACACATTGTATTTATTTTCATCATTAAAAAGCGGCTGCAGTTTGCTGTCATTACCCAGACCATTTCTCTGAATCAAGCTTGTTTTTGTAAAATTACCTGTAATTGCCCTAATTTATTGCACAGAGAAAACAAGTCCATTGAATTACAGTACAGGAAAAATAAGAGAAAAGAGAGCAGCCTTTGCTTACGAACTGTTTGCACACAGGGTTTTCGACCCTTCACAGGCCTTGTCAAGCCGACGAACAGCATTTGCCACAGACATGTAGTTACCCAAGCTGTATAACCCATCACAGGAAACATGAAGCTTTAATTTAGTTTCAGCAAAGTTGAGTCAAAGAGTCTTTTCATATCAGCCCTTCCTGTCAATCACCTGATCCACCACAAGGAAAAATGGGAGTCCCTAAAAATAAAAACAAACTTTACTGTCACGGCCAGGCTTTGCTGACTTTTTATCCCTTGTACAGGCAAAAGGAAACTTCACTCTGTATCGAACGTGCATTGAAAAATAATTATGGGAAATGCAAATTTGATTATTTCCCTTTAAATCTCCTGCTCTTCCCAGCCATTCATCCAGCAGTGATCATACCTTCCTACCTGGTTGAAATGTATGTATCTAAGAAGCATTAGAAACGGTACTAAAAGGGTACACACATCAATAACATGGGGGTCTTATTTTGTAGGGGGAGAAAACACAGAAGCTTTCACTTTGGTCAGGGGTGTTTATCAAAGAGTTAAGCTTCCTCTCCTATCCCACTGGTCGACTGAGGAGAGATAATGGTCTGCAATTCCTCCACATATCCCTGAGGAAAGCGCTTACTACTCTCCAAGGAGGCGGCGTGGCGAGTGCCATCAACGTGGCGCTCAGCCTAGAAAGCCAGTTTTAACAGCCCTTTCCACAGAGTATGTGACTCATGAGTAACAGCAGCCACTATAAATAATTTGGGGTACATTGAATTCTGATCAAAAGGCGCATCGCATGTAAAAGCATGCAGAGAGCGGAGGGATGAACAGGGAGAGAGCGGAGGGATGATTCAAAAAGAGGAGAAAGCAGAGAGTGAAACACATTCATGTAGGGAAGGAAGTAGTAGAAAGGGAATGTGCAAAGGTATGTTTGATGGGAAGGAAGCGGAGATGAGACCAGCCAATCAGATAAATGTAACCCTGACATCAAAAGTGACCTTACTGACACTAAAAGTCTTGTAGGTTCATCTCGGCTTCCTTTTTCACAGGCTGTGATCGATTCCTGGCTCTTATTCGGGATTAGTTTTCCCCTATCCCTTAATGGTACCCAGCTAAATCTAATAATAATTTTAATGATGGTAAGAATAAAGACAGCACGCTGTCTAACAGCCAGTGGCGTGCAGCCTGAGCAGGCAGAGGGCCATGCTGTGTAATTAGAAGCTGTGAGTAATTGCAAATATGAGGCCTGAGGCAGAGAGAAGAGAGACAGTGACAAGCCAAAAGAATACAGTGTGTGTGTGTGTGTGTGTGTGTGCGTGTGTGGGATGGGGCAGGGGGGTTACTATTGACCTTAAGATGCACTTAAACTGATTCTGGCCTCTGCACTTTTCTGAAGGAGAGCATGTTAATCTTAAGGTACAAATCAATAAAGTATCACATTATCATTAGTGCTGCCAGTGGGGTGAGATAGTTTCACTGCTTTCTAATTACCAGCTACTGTATCTTTACCTCAGTGACAGTCCTAATGTAATGTAATGTGGAAAGTATTTTAATAATGTCATCCAAAACTAATGCAAATGCTTTACCCAGTTGTTTTTCTTAATTTGCTTTCACAAAAATAAAATGTAACCCTAATCTTTGGATGCAATTTAGGCTAAAACTGTATAAAAACAGTTTGATAACTGACAGGAGGCTGAACACATGTCTTACCGAGCCCCACTCCGACGATGAGCCTCCCCGCCAGGAGAGCCTCCTTGCCAGGGGCGGTGCTCAGCACGATCCCCCCGACGGTGAAGAAGAAGCTGGCCAGCAGTATGCACACCCTGCGCCCGAAGAGCCCGTTGAGGAAGCCGCCCAGCAGGGCAGACAGGGCTGCCGCGGCCACAGTACTTGATATGAGCACCTCCTGCCACAGGGCGCTCAGGTCCAGCTCCCTCTTCAGCAGGAGCATCGCCCCGGAGATCACCCCGGTGTCGTAGCCGAACAGGAACCCCCCGAGGGCGGAGAAGGCGGCCAGGACGTAGACGAAGCCGGGCGTGACATCCTGCTGGAACTGCTTGCGGGCAGCCCTCTCCAGGTCACCGGTGGAAGAGGAGGGTGCTGCCGGGGCGCCGGCGGCGGTGGAAGTCGCGGCGGAGGCGCCCTGGCTGCTGATGCTGGCGCTGGACGGAGCCTTGATGAGACTCCGCTCTCCCCCGTCGTTCACTTTCTTCCACCGCTCGCCCATCAGGTTGCTCATACTACGGAGATTGTAGTCATGGTCGACCTGCTTTCGCGACATATGGGAAACACAACACGGGACAGGGCTGCTGAGTTGTTTTTGATGCTTCGGAGAAAAAGAAAAGAAAAGAAAACCACACTCATCCACTTAACTAATTGACCCCCCTCCTCCCTCAGTTTGGAGTTAGTGCCGCGCTGTGTATCCAAAAACCACTCCCAAATATAACGCAGGCTGCCGAGTAAAGTTGTTCTCCAGCCTTGTGTGTATCAGTGTATCACATCCCTGTGGTCCTGATGGGAGAGTTGAAGAAGAGTGGGGAGGAAAGGTAAGATAGGAGGAGTGTAGTGGAGCGGTTCGTCACTACCAGCGTCGGCATGACGCAAAGAAATATTGTTTTGGAAGCGTGATGCTGGAGTGAGGGTTTTAGTCTGCTACAATTCAATGAACATTGTCTGTCCTACTGAAAATAGAAACACCGCACATTAATAAGCTCAATAAAAACACTAAAAATCACAATTAATGTAGCCTACTGTAATATTTCATTTTCGTACTACCAAAGTCATGTTAAAACAAAGAATTGCTTACTTATAGATTCATATAGGCCTATGTGTCTAGGCTGTATATCAAGATTAAAGGTTTCTTTATTAGTAAGGGTGAATCTGTTATGCAGATTGGAGATTCAGCAATACAGAGTGAAAATACATCAAACAAAATATATTAAAACATGTATGAAGTGTAGGAACTCTTTAGAAGGTCATGACAAAGTGCTTCTACACGCACTCAAATGCTTTAAGTGCCATGCATGGGTGAAATGATGAAAAACAACCTGTTTCACCTGTTACTGTATAACAAGCTGCCTCTGGCATATTAGGAAAACGGCTGCCCCCTGCAGGACTGATTCTGTATCACAGGTCAATGTTTAAAATCTCTAAATAAAGTCTCTTATATATATATATATATATATATATATATATATATATATATATATATAGTTGTAAAGTCTCTAAATAAATATTTATATAGTCCAGAATCACAGATCACAATTAGCCTTAGGGGGCTTTACAATGTCTACAGCGTATGTAATTAAGAAAACTATTTCCTAGTTATATGGCAGTTTCTATATGATGAACATCCAAAGTATACAATACAAAATGCACAAAACTATTAACATAGGCGCTAAATCAAAGTAGCATATGGTTCCTCTAAACAAGGAACCAAGTCATCCCAAGACCGAAAAAAAAGAGCAAACCAAGCTACAACTGTTTATTATCATATAAGACAAAGGAAAGCAAATCCTATGGTAATCTACCGTAATCTCTCTTTCTCTCAAAAGGTCTCCATCAACCCACGAAAAACCTTCGTCTCTCATGTTCAGAAGTTGCTCCTTCACACACTCAACCATTATCATTGCTTCTACCGTCCTTATTATTGATCAAGCTTAAGACACAGAAAAGGTAATCTCTGTGAACACACTGCATGGCTGCAGCCTGGAGAAATGACATGGTTGTAAATGCGTTCATGTGTGCAGGGGATCAATATGTGGACAGTGGTGTCACGCAAAATGGAGAAGTACAGCCTGATAATGGCTCATGACGAAGCCCATTAGAGAAAGAGGGCAATAATGGAACATGTTTCCTGTACACATAGTGGTGTAGATCAGTGGCCCTGGTGTCTGGGGACCTCAGGGGTCCTTGAGGTTTGCAGGCGGGCCCCTGAAAATATTTTAATTTCACTATTATTTCATTGACTAGGGTTAGGCCAGTGAGAGAATGTATAAGAATGATTATTCTGTTCATAGGTTTTACAGACAGTTATGGAATATATAGATATGTAAATGGTTTCATGGTGAAAAACAATGTCTCTTCTAGTGAAATTAACTATGTTAAGTATTTTAAATAAATAAACTGTGACTCCACACCTGCTAGTAGCAGGGTCAAGGGAGGGTATGGATTGGTATAATTTTGGCAACCCTGGATACTTCCACTTGCACCAACATCAGAGCAATGTTCCTCATACACTTTAGTTGGTCACCTCGTTACGTTAGAATCTCTAATTACATTTTACTGAGCACATTTTATTCCGAAGAGGAAAAAAATATATTGGTCAGGCTGGTTTTCACCTGTGCTTTGCTCTCCAAAAAAATAATTAAGCATGTCACAGCAAGGAATGCATACAAATTCACTTCCAAATGTCAGGAATGAGAAACTGACTGCCAGCACCATCTGCATCTTCTTCTCCTTGATCTATCTATCTATCCGTGCTTCCTCTCATTGTGTCTTCTTCTGTTCTGTCAAAAGGCTATAAACCAAACTATAAACCATCTCTTAAACAACAGAAGTTCGTGTAAAAATTCAATTTGAGCAGATTATTTCCTGTCAATACTGGATGAGAGATGAGTTTTCCTGATATTTCCTCTAACTTTTAATACAATTCTCTGTATGTATTATGCAATTCTTTAACTTTTAACAGTCTCTCTGACACTTTAACCTTCCCTGAACCAGAAAGTTCAAGCATGTTCCTTCATTGATCTGCACTAACACAATGGCTTCCACTGTGTTCCTGTTTTATAGTATGTACCAAGATGACAAATCCTGACCAGCTGTCAGATTGCCAAGCCTCAGGTATCACAGTCACAAGGGTTGATCTACACAACCCTTTCTTGAGGTGTTTATCGCTCTAGAACAGTCATTTTCTTCCTTTAGTCTCCATAATCAAGCTTAACTTGTACAATCAAACAAATGACCACCGTGACCATTTGCAGCACTACAAACATATAACCAACATCAGTCTGTGGGGCTAGTTGAAGTACAACATTACAGGAAGACAGCATAGGGTTAAGAGAACTCAATCCTGTGGGTGTGGAGCTAGGTGTAAGGACTGGGCTGCAACCTGTAGAGAGGATAAAAGCAATGTTGTATTAACTGTTCTAATTGAGGAAACAGAGCAGTGGCTTGGTTTCCGACCTACTGTGCCAAGTGGGCTGGATATTGACAACTATCACCCCAGTCACTGTGACCTCATACTTCAGCAGGAACAGCAAAGGCGTCGGCTGTGAAAAATACTGATTGAGACTATACTGATGTTTGATTGGTATATATAGGGATTTTTTTTTGTTGATCTATTTATACATACCTATCAGTGGCGTGCACAGACTTTTTGAAGGGCAGGGGCGGTCCCAAGAGGGCACTTTAGCACGCATTTTGGCTCCCAAGAGAGCACTTGAGGGCACTAAGCATGTGTTTTGGCTCCCAAGAGGGCACTTTAGCACACGTTTTGGGCGACAACCCCCCACCCCCTTGTGATCAACCCCTTACCTGTTGATCTTGCTTTTTCCTCCCTGTTAAAGGTTTTGTTTTTGGGAGTTTTTCCCTCGTTTGTAAAAATTATTAATAGATTGTAAAGCCCCTTGAGTCAAACTGTGGCTTTTAATTATGTGCTATATATATTAAATTGACATGACTTGACTTTCAATGTAAAAGCTCCACTACTCATCATCAACAATCAATCAAATGGCAATATGTGACATGCAAGAGGTCAGTAGCAGTGATTAAGCTTATTATCACTGCACGAATTATCGCTCAACTTCCACTGCTCTTGAAAATGAAAATGAACCCAATATCACCCACCTTTTAGCCTATTTTAGCTCATTGTTTTTGTTTCATGAGACATTTACTGTACAACTCTTTCTACTCTCATTAATTATGTATACATTTTTTCACCTGCCCAGCACCAAACAGTGGGAAGACAAAGTTAAAAGCTTGCTCGCTGAAAGTCAAAAAGCTAGCAGCTAAAGGACACAGCTATTTTTCTCAGGAATCTGTGGAGATCAAACCAATGTGAATACAAGAGTGAATATTCGACTTATATTTGCCAGTGGCCAGAAACGTGACTCCAAATGACCGATAATGTCATAGCCTTTCACAGTGATGTATCAAGAGTGTGTGTGTGTGTCACTAAGCTTGTTTTTGAGCTCTTCTGGTCCTTAGTGACCAAAAAATAAATAAGTCAATGAATGTAGCTTTAAGACATAACAATGTAAATTCTTTTACAATGTCCATGCCAGCTATAAGTTTTAAAATATACACATGCAGTATTTTGTAGTGTTTTGCAACCGTATTTAACTACTTAAAAGACTACATACATTTGAAAAAATGAATATTTATAGTTCAGTTATGTGCAGTGAAAGTACTCCTTAGTTCATATATCTATACACTGAGAATTTTAATGAGAACGTAATATCTTGAATTACAATGCAGTGGGTTACGGTGAAAGATCTCAGGTTTAATAGCCTGTTTACTGTTGATAAGCCTCTTAATCCTTTTACCACCTCACTGATTTTGACTCAGTTTGCAGCTTTAAGTATAATCTTTGCGTGAAAAGAAATCTGAGTAGCTGCATAACACATCCTTAAGCATCACATGGTACTTCCCCTCAGCTCTCAAACGAAAAAATAACTAACTACATCCTGGTTCATGCACCCTGGCCCCTTTCCACAGCCTAATTTCTCATTTTCTCATTGTCTGCATGTCTTGGCAAGGCATTGTCTGGTTCAACAGTGTTTGCCAGAAGTAAGCATCCCTCTTTGTTCATAATACAGGACTCAATATATTACCCCTTGGTGACACTGAGTTTTATCTTTTGTGGTAGGAAACAGGTTTAAAGGAATGAAAGAACAGCCTTTTCGAACTCTACGTTGGAATTCATTTTGATGTTGAGTTTTCCAAACTGTGTGTGCATCCATCCTCTTTCACACACACAAACAAACACACACACACACACACACACACACACACACACACACACACACACACACACACACACACACACACAATTTCCCACGGGAGTATATATCAGAGGGATTGTTGTATAATGAAATAGATCTCTTTTGCTGTAAATGCAACATGATAACCAGGATATGCTTTAAATTAAGATGGTTTTCCAACATTGTGTGATCACATTACTGGTTAATACCATTTAGTTTAATGTTTAATCAGATAATTTTTTCTATTTCTTGTTTCCTGGTGTTTTCATTTAAAGAGTGCGTAAGTGAGGGCGTATGTCTAGGAGAACAGAGTGGGTTGTCACACCATATCTCACACACATATCTGTGTTTGTGTGTGTGTGTGTGTGTGTGTGTGTGTGTGTGTGTGTGTGTGTGTGTGTGTGTGTGTGTGTGTGTGTGTGTGTGTGTGTGTGTGTGTGTGTGTGTGTGTGTAAATGGACACTGCATATATAAGCCATGTGGTGGGCTGCAGTTCTTCCTGGTTTCACCTGCTCTCCTGCAACAAGGACACATCAGGCAGCATGACCTCACAGCGATGGATGCTGGCTGTCTGTTTTTCACTAGTCTCAGGTACCAATTCAATCAAAACCATGCAATCATTAATTTAATCATCTGAATATGAATTCATTCTTCTAAGCAGAAACATTGAGGGATAAGGATACTGAAAAATCTGATTATAAAAAAACAATAACAGAAAAAATATCAAAAAGGTTCACATGCATTATTTTAACATTTGACATATTCTATACAATATTTGTTGTTTTTCATGTGTTTCTTTGTTCATGATATGTTTTAGTTTAGTCGTTTATTCATCAATTTCTTAAAGTTTTAACTAGTATTAGAAAATAAGAAAGTAGAATTAGAGAAAAAGTCCTTTATAACATTCGGCAGACTGGAGTTGGAAAAGCAATTTGCATCAGTGTTACATTGAGTGGTGGAATAAAAAAGTACATTTAATCAAATACTGTACTTTGGTTCAAACTTAAGGTACTTGAAAATTTCCATTTCATTACTCCACTACATTTATTTAACAGTTTTAGTTGCTAGTTTCTGTGTGTGAATTTACATACAAAACATTAGCTTATAAAATATGATACCTATCGAACTAACTACTCAACAGTGTAAGAAATAGTCAACTCTACCAACCACCTACCACACTAAAATGCTACTTAGACACTCAAGCAATAATAATCCAATACTTTTTCTGAATTAGGAGTAGGCCAACTTTTATTTTTGATATTCCAAAAGTAGATTAAACTAATAATATTTTTGCTTAAGTGACATTTTCAATGCAGAACACAAGCTTGTAATGGAATTTGTAATATTGCATTATTGCTACTGTCACTAAAGGATGTTAATATGTTTAATCTCTGCATTAAATATATATTTTTTAAAATCAAATACGGTATCTCTATAACAATAAGATTCTTGCTGTGTCCAATTATTAGGAATGTTTACGTCCTCCTTATTGCTGTATTTCTCTCCTAGTTATAGGGACAGGGGAATCGGTCGCCACAACAGAAACTCGGAAATGTGAGTCAATCCTGATCAGTTCCTTTTACAGATTACTTTTTAACGATGTTGAATAAATAGTTAATCATGTGGTGTAATTTGGTCATTAAAAATCTTCAATACTATAAGAAGTTAATTGACTTTTTCATAATTAGAGTGATTTGAATGTAAAAGTAATCAAAGTCATTAGATTTCATTATTGAGTTCTGAATTGATTACTGACAGTATAGTACTGCTGATTAGTACGGAAGTCAAGATTATTGCAATTATTCTTTTAAAACCACTATCACAAGGTAATTTATCTAAGAGAACACAACCTTCTGTTTTCTTGTGATAATGAGTTGATTATGTTGTTATTTCTAGATAACAAAGCTTGTAATCTCGAAATAACGGCATTAAAAAAAGTGTAAGCACAGCTATTCTTGGCTTCCATAGTTTACACCTTTAGGAAGAAAAACCAGAAAACCAACAAACAACAAAAAAAAAATCATCATTAACACTTCAGTCATGTCTTTAGCCATTGTCTAATCAGTAAATTGACCTTTGTTGTGATCAGACATTTGCAGGACTTTTGGCAGCGGGGTTGTGCAGCCTTTCAATGGTTCAAGTTTCTATGTGCATTCCAACTGCCCGTTCACCCTCACCCGCTTCACCCACAACCGGGTGGAATGTGATATCACTACATGGCGAGGTGACAATGGGCTGCTGGCCCAAGTCGAGATCATCATCAACAAAATCAGGACTGTTCTGCAGAATGGAAGCATCATGGTGGAGAGGAAAAGGTTCGGGCCCAATCTCGAACCCACCCACAGGGAAAGTGTAGCCACATGGAAAACCAAATAATGAGTCATGCAAAGTTTGATCAAATCGCACATCCTCTGAGTCTATATTTGTTTAGATAAAAGATTATAGTCTTGAAAATAATCACAATTATTCAGCCACATCAACAACAGTAAGAATGTGAGAAAACAGCAGGTGGGTGTTTCGCCCAAAGACACTCCAGATCGTTCACTCAAATGGCATTTGTCCAAACAGCCAGGTGGTTGACACTTTTATATATTCATAATGTCATCAATGTTGGTTAATTATTAGCTTTTATTCCGGAACACTGAGCATTATTAATGATTTCCTGATCAAGTTAATGGAAAGCATACAGAGTTGTTACAAGTTGTTAAAATCTACAAGGTCACTCAGTTAACTTACAAGCTGTTTTGGGGTGGGTGGGCAGTGTAATACTTTAAAGTATTAAAATCAAAGTTGAGGAAGTAAGACTAATGATTAGTCAAAAGTAAAAGGAAAAAAACTGCTTTACGTCACTTGGTACTCTTCATTGTCTGACGATAGCTATATACAAACAGCTTTGGATGCATATTGAGTGAAAAAATCTAAGTAGAACGAGATTTGCTATTTGCGTTGTTTTGTCAAAATGCAACCTAAACATCTGTCTTTATTTTTTCTTTAGATTAAATCATTTTTGCATTTGTTTCTCTTTAAAACTCAGTGTAATAACCCCTGTTCTCTGTATCAGTACCTGTACTAATATCTCTGTGTATTTATTTGTTGACAGTGTTTCCCTTCCATACGACCACACCTACCAGCATATCTTTCACTACGGCATCTACACTAAACTGAGGAGCTCGCTGCTTCCTCTGTCCGTTACCTGGCACAGTGTACCTGGAGGAATAGACACTGTCTGGGTGAGAGGACACTGCGATAAATATGTTGACAACATACAGTAGACATACACAAGAGAGCATAAACACAGGCCCCCAAATATGTGCACACATGCATATTTAGTAATGTAGAGCAATAACCTCACCCACTGAAGCTTTTCTTTTAAACTTGTTAAGGTGGAGCTGGAGCAGGAGCTGAGCACCGACATGACCGGACTATGTGGAAAACACAACCTCCCAGGTATTATAATGAAATGATTGGAAATGACAGCAGGATTCCTGTAGTATAGCAGTAGAAACATTACCAGCAGTACTTTTAGAAGTAGTAGCAACAAAGTGTTGGTGGCAGGAGAAATAGTAACAATCATTAAAATGTAGATGATCTTAGGAATGTACAGATTTTGTTTACAAAAATTTATAAGAATGTGACATTTTTGTGAAATTAGGCAACAAGCAGCAGTTGATCACGGAGAGCGTGCTTGCTGACGACACCTGTCAAACCAGAGATCCTGCCTTCGCTATGAATGAAGTGAGTTAACTGTTGTTTTGATGATAATGTGATTTCCAGTCTCTGAGTTTTATACACTCGTGGATCCCACTGAAAAGAAAAACACAGGTTATAAATTAACTGATGCTGAGTAGTGCCTTATGTGACATCATGTCAGTTTTAAAAACATTGAGCCATACATATCTTACCTCAGCACTGGTTTACAATTACATGCAGTGTCTTGGTTCCAGATGTTCAGGTGGTTTCTCTGATGACATTTGTAGGAATGCAGAATGTTCTTTTCCTACACCTTGGATTGTCTCCAAGCCAGGACGCCTCATTACATCCAACTTTGCGAAGAGAACATTTACAGCTATGAAAAGAACAAATACATCGGCTGTGCTTTCTTCAAAGAAGTTGTCCAGCAGTGTGGAAACAGCAGCTATGCCTGGAACATATGGAGAATGGTAACCAAATGTGGTAGGTGCTACATTTGAAAGCTCTCCAGATTTGTTCAGTTTTATGTTTGGAGACCTATTTGATAGACTTAATTCGATGGACTCTTGATGTGATTGTCTGTTTCTGTGGGTGAATGCAGCAATACCGAGTTGTCCAGGAGACCTGGCTTATGTAGAACGGGGTGCGGCCTTTGTTCCCAGCTGCTCCAACCCGAACCCCAGATTCTCCGACCAGGATCTCGTCAGCTCCTGTGTCTGCCCGAGGGGTGAGCGTTGTCTGACTGTATGATTTAGCTCTTAACTCATCTGACCCTGTTGTTTAATTGCTTGTTTAGATTACATAATATGATAAATATGATAAAATACATTTACATTCTAGGTAAGGTGCTTAATGATCATGCAGACGGCTTCCACTGTGTAAGTGTATCAAGCTGCCCTTGTGTGTTTAATGGCAAGAGCTTCTCAACTGGAGACATACGCAGAACCAAGTGTCAGTCATGGTAAGTGGGTTGAAAAACTGCTTTGATACTTACATGAATTCAAATCAGGATGAATAAAATGATCCTATTTGAAGTTTTTCATTCAAATTTTATGCTAATTTCTCTCCACAGTGTGTGTCACAGCGGGAAATGGCAATGCTCGGAAAATTTCTGCCCTTCCAGATGTCTCATTGAAGGCCAGTTTGTGACAACTGTTGATGGCAAACAATATGTCCTCCCTGGTAAATGTACATATGTGGCCTCACAGGTGAGTTTTCAGCACTACCCCAACATTTAATATTAACCCATGTTGTCTTTTCATGATACTAACTGCTCTTTTAAAATTGTTTCCAAGGGTCTTAACTGGACAGTAATGATTGAGTTTTCCCAAAAGGCACCCTCTCTGAAAACAGTCAGTCTTCAGCTTTTTCAGGTAAACGCTGTCTTTAAATTTGAAACCATATATCACACAAATGTCAATCAACAGTAATGTGCAGTCAATGAATATAAATGTGCTTCTTTTATGGATTTGCAGGAAACGTATACATTCTCACAGAACACGGCTAAAATTGGAGAGGAGGAGATCACTGAACTTCATCAGTCTGGTAAAACAAAGGGGGGAAATCATTGTTTTTAATTGCATTGGTCCTTAACGTGAATATGTATGTCTGGTAGCCAGTAATTCATCCATATTGGCTTGGTTACTCACCTACCAACAACTTACTGACCTCTGTCGCCTGACAGATCATGCTCTGGTTTTCTGGCAGTCCTCAATGTACGTTGAGGTCCACACATCCTTTGGTATGAAGATCCAAGTCCAGACGTCTCCTGAAATCCAGTTGTACATCACCCCACCCCCAAACCACGCTGGCATGATCTCAGGTTAGGATCTCAGTCTACAAACAAGCCAAGCTATATCGGCATTGTCACAATTGTGCAGGCAGGGTAACCAGAAACAAGGCATGCAAGTTTTTTCACGAGCTCTCATGCGTGATCCAGTTTGATTTGTGATTATAGTCGGCGTGTCTTTCAGGTCTTTGTGGCAACAGCAACAATGACACCACAGACGATTTCACCACCAGCAGCGGGATCATCGAAAACTCAGCTCAACCTTTTGCTCAGTCCTGGAGTGTGGATATTTGTCCAGTGAACATACCCACCTGCACCAACACAGACAAGGGTACCAATTAATATACATGTGCTTGTAAAATTGAATTGTGTACATCAGAGATGAAATATTATTTTAAAAGCTATACAATGAAATAATACATTCTTATATTAAAACACTATGATATATGTTATGTGAGAAAAGATACTTCTTTATTGTTTTGCTAACTTTTTTCATTATCTTAATATGTATTTTTGAAGAAATATTTGCTGATGAAAAGTGCTCTGTCCTGAACAACCCAACCGGGATATTTGCCGAGTGCCATGGTCACATCCCAACCGATCACTACCACACGGTAACAAGACTTTTGTACCAAAGTAAATCCTTAATTAGTTCTTGGCGTTTTCAGCAAACTAACTGACACTGCCATATTAACAAGGAACTGATTTTTATTTCCAGGCTTGCATCCAAAGAACATGTATGTGTGGCAGCAGTCTGCAGCAGTGCTTGTGTGTTGCTCTGGGCAGCTATGCCAAAGCCTGTGCCAGTCTGGGTGTCATAGTTGGTGACTGGAGGACAGCTACTAACTGCAGTGAGTTAAGCTTTGATAAATATACTGCTAAATCTGTCTATATCCCCCAACTTTATTGTTCCACTGAAAATACAATGTTGTGTCGCAGCTCTGGCATGTCAGAAGAACCAAGAATTCTCCTACAACGTGCAAGCCTGTAACCACACATGCCGCTCCCTGTCTGGCCCTGACCCTCGCTGTGGGCTGGACAGTACGCCTGTGGAGGGCTGTGGCTGTCCGGAGGGTACTCACCTGAACGAAGGACACATCTGTACCGCAAAGGCAGAGTGCGTTTGTCACTACTACGGTGGTATAACACCACCAGGGTCTGTTGTTATCGACGGACGAATGTGGTAGGTTGATCAAGTATTACAGCCATTTAAAAAGCATGTTTTAACATTTTACCTGTGTCATTTATTTCCCCTAATCAAGTCTTATTGTCAGGGTTTTGGGTTATTTCCTGTTTTATTTTGCAATACTACTCTTATGTCTTATGTCTGGTTTAACTTCACTTCACTCACCTGTCTTTGTCTGTTGTCCCTCCAGTTTGTATTGTCTGCCCTGCCCTGATTATTTTCACTTGTGTATTTGGTCTGTGTTCCCTTGTTTTAGTGTCAGTTTGTCCTGGTTGCTTTGTCCCTGTGTCGCCTTTGGTTGTACTTTGCCTGAACCTGTTTAGTGTCTACCTGCCTGTTACCTGTCTTCCTATACCTGCCTGTAAGCTGAATATTAAATCACTGAAGTCATCCTGTTGCATTTGGGTTCAGTCTTGTGATTTGTGAGCCGGGTCATTTGTAGTGTGCTCAGTTGTCGTGTACTTCAACTAAGTTGTATCTCAAACCAAATATTGTCTATTGCAGTTTCTGTGAAAACGGAGAACTGCAGTGTTCTAAGGATTGTGGTAAATATATATTCTGTGATTCCAAATAATTACCAAAAACTACTACTGAACAACTTAATGCGAGAAACATGTTTGACAATGTGTCAAACTGAAATATAATTAACAAATTAATTTGTCTTTTGTATTTAATTGTTTTCATCAGGGTGCAAAAATGGGAAGGTTTGTGTTCACTGTGCTGAGTACCCAGTTAACACGGCTCAGAAAACCTGCGACAGTCTCAGCAAACCAATGGTAGGTCAACAGATTATGTATTCTGTATTTACTGTACATGCTTTGCATTATTCTGCATTCTAACAATTACCCGTTGTCCAAAACCAGTTTCTTTTATTGTGATGGGTCAAACTTATCCTTGAGATAAATTATTTTCTTTTGGTGTGATTTCCAGGGCACCAGTATGACCTGTGATAGTGGCTGTTACTGCCCACATGATCAGTATGAGGATCACCGTGGAAACTGTGTTTCTCTGGACAACTGCACCTGTGTGTACAGTGGCAAAGTATTCAGCGCAGGACAGCTTGTCAAAACCAACTGCAAAACATGGTAACACCTGCATTAGAGCTGCTTTCCTACTTCAAAAAGTCTATGCTGGTGAAGCCATTGATGCAAAGGCCAAGGCTGACTAAAAGGTTTACTCTCTATCTTACAGTACCTGTGGTGAGGGTCAGTGGCACTGCAAAGATGAGCCTTGCCCTGGGAAGTGTCAAGTTTATGGAAACGGACACTACCAGACCTTTGACTCTAAATGGTACCGCTTTGATGGACACTGTCAGTACACACTTGTTGAGGTGAGACCCAACATGAAAGCAAAATCCACTGCTCACACGTTTCTTTGCTCAAGCTTTGTAGGCATTCAAAGGACAAAGTACATTATCCAAATACCCTAACCAAAGACATTTTTTTTTAAATATAGGCTATGTTTTTTTTTTTTTTTTTAGTTTTTAACTCTGATCTTTTTACTTCAGGATAACTGTGGAAAAAGAAATGGCACTTTCTCTGTCAGAGTGGAGAGTGTACCTTGCTGTGATGAGGCGCTCACCTGCTCTCGCTCTATCATCCTTGACCTGCAGGTGAATGCAGTTTGTTTCTGTGATTCCTGTTTTTCTTCACTGAAAACCTGAGCTATTGTCCACATGTTTTTTTTAATCCCATTGCTTTACACACTTCACACAGTCATGATTAAAGAATCAAAGCATGCTACTGACTGACCTTTATGGAAGATAAATGGTCATGAACCAGTAAAGTCTGGTGACTTGTTCATCAATAATTAAAAGATATTCTTATACCTGTGCTGTCAAGGGCCTAGTCACCCTGACACTGAGCGACATGAAGGTGACCAGACGGCACCATAAAGGCTGGACACTGCTGGAAGATTCACTTTATTCCACACACACTGTGGGACTCTACATCATAATCTCAGTGCCAAGCAGAGGGATAACGCTCATCTGGGACAAACACACCAGGATCACCATTGAGCTGCAGGCATACTTGAGGGTGAGTGATGAGGATTTTGAAATCTAGTCATATATATATATTACTTGTCACATGACTACACACTTTGATGCTCAGTGTACACAAAACAAATATTACACATAAGGTAACATTTTAATTTGAAGTCCACATTTTGTACAATTTCATGTCCTCTTGCTGTCTTTCTCAGCTGTGTATTGATTTATTTATTTAACCAGTTGATTGATTTAGATCAAAGCCACTATGTATTGACCATCACTCATAGGTTCATCCTTCCTAGGAGTCCATTGTTACTTTCATTTTACGTGTAATTTTAAAACCTTTTAATACAAATTTCAAATCTATTTTCAACCATCTCTCCTGCAGAACCAAGTGTGTGGCCTCTGTGGGAATTTTGACTCCAATGAGATGAACGACCTGCAGATAAGTGGCTCAGGAGGTAAATAGATTTTTTCTTTCCTTTTATGAAGCAGAAAACTGAAAAATAACACCAACAATCTGTGTTTAGCGGTGTCCAGTTCCCTGGCATTTGGCAACAGCTGGAGAGCCGCCACACCTCCTTGCTCTGATGTGACCACGGAGATATTTCCCTGTGAACGCAACTCCTACTGCTCAGCCTGGGCCCAGCGACGCTGTATGATCCTTACAGGAGACACATTCAAAGATTGCCACTTAAAAGTACGCATTTAACACATTTAGCATACCACTAATAGCATGATTAGGGGTTAGATTCCTGTGCAGGTGCATTTGGGAAGCAGGGTGGCATATGAAGATCTTTCCAATGAACCAATGACCTATAAGAGCTCAGTGTCAACACTAAACATTTATTGTCCAAATCTACTATTTACAGTAATAGTCCTTAACAGAGAGTCCTTAAAGTGTTAATAAATGCTCTATTGTGGATGTTCTACACTTCTCAGGTGGATCCAGAGCCTTACTACCATGCCTGTGTGCAGGAGTCCTGCTCCTGTGAGTTTGAAGGGAAGTTCCTGGGCTTCTGCACAGCTGTGGCAGCCTACGCAGAGGCCTGCAGTGACCAGGATGTATGTGTGAACTGGAGAACACCAGATTTGTGTCGTAAGTTATGCCTTTTGCCCCCACGAATATTAGTTTGAACGTAACTCTTCAGATGTTGAGCAAGGAGATAACGGTAATGTTGACATTTGAGAATAACTTTTAACTTAAACCCATAAAGAGAACATTGATTAGATCAATACTACTCAGTTAATTATTGATTAAAGGGGATTGTCATGCCAAGATGCATTTTACAGTAGGAAAAGAGTTAGCAGGCTGTGCTCAAAATGCTGAAAAGGTATCATCTCTTGTTTAATTTTACTTTTTTGCCTAATAGTTGAATAACATGGAACATGCAGTACATTACTTTATATAATGTTTTATCAATATTTAATATTTTTTTGTCATTATGCAGAGGACTGACACTATGTCATAAATAAAGTAATCAATATAGCCTACAATCCATATTATTAAAAGTGTGTTAATTACTAACTACTGAAAAGTTTTCAAAACAAACTATAACTCATTTTAAACCATAGCGGTCTACTGTGACTACTACAATGAGAAGGGCCAGTGTAGCTGGCACTATGAAGCCTGTGGGAAGATGCTAACCTGTGGCGAAGGCAACTACTTTAATCACAAGCTGGAAGGTAACCAAACTGTCTCAGTTGTTTTCAAATAATTAAACCCGAATTGTTGATCATCTGTTGAATCTGGAAAGTGAAAATAATGTCTTAATGTTACTTATATTGTGACTAATTCTGGCAGTATTGCAAACAATCTGGCCATTATAATAAAATTCTCACAATTTAGATATCTATTGAATATTTTTTTTAGTCTTGGCCTAATCAATGCTTACAAAAGCCATTTGCGGCCATAAAATAAACATAATGTTTATTCATGGAAAGGCTGCTATCCCAGATGTTCAAAGGAGGTGCCATACTATGATGAAAATACTGGTGAATGCACCCAATTGAGAAACTGCACCTGTTTATTCAATGACACTATCCTTCAGCCTGGGAAAGTGGTGCTGATACAGTCTATTGAGTGGTAAGTTGGGCCATTCTTAATATATATACAGTGTCTGTGTACTTTTCCATATGTGTGAACTAACAACTGGATATTTCTTACTATTTCATATTATTCTCGTCAGCCACTGTGAAAATGGAACAATCAAGTGTCGTAAGTATGAAATAGTGTTTACAAAGTCTATCATTAAATTTACTATTTCATGTGTCACTTTTAGTTTTTGTGCCAATTAGCTATTTAAATGTTTTAGATTATCACCTTCACAGAGCCCTCTTTCAAAACACCAGACTTCAATTGCACCTCTACTCCAACAGCACCTCCACCCACAACTACGCCTGCCACCACTTCTACATCAAGTATTCCCACCACAACTGCCTCAACTACCACTGAAACAACTGTGCTTTCCACTACACCAACTACTACAATTGCCTTTACTACAGCTGAAACATCCCCAATGCCTACAACCACCTCTACACCAGTGACAACCATTACCAATGTATCAACTACTACTGAATTTTGGTCAACTGTACTTTCCACCACCTCCACCCCAACCACTACCACTGCTTCAACAACGCCCTCCACCACCACTACACAAATGACATCCATTACCAATGCCTCAACTACTCCTGGAAACTGGTCAACTGTACTTTCCACCACCTCTACCCCACCACCACTTCCACCACTGCTTCAACAACGCCTCCACCACCACTACACAAATGACATCCATTACCAATGCCTCAACTACTACTGGAAACTGGTCAACTGTACTTTCCACCACCACTACCCCAACCACTACAACTGCCTCAACAACGCCCTCCACCACCACTACACAAATGACGTCCATTACCAATGCCTCAACTACTACTGGAAACTGGTCAACTGTACTTTCCACCACCACTACCCCAACCACTACAACTGCCTCAACAACGCCCTCCACCACCACTACACAAATGACATCCATTACCAATGCCTCAACTACTACTGGAAACTGGTCAACTGTACTTTCCACAACCTCTACCCCAACCACTACCACTGCTTCAACAACGCCCTCCACCACCACTACACAAATGACGTCCATTACCAATGCCTCAACTACTACTGGAAACTGGTCAACTGTACTTTCCACCACCACTACCCCAACAACTGCAACTGCCTCAACAACACCCTCCACCACCACTACACAAATGACGTCCATTACCAATGCCTCAACTACTACTGGAAACTGGTCAACTGTACTTTCCACAACCACTACCCCAACCACTGCAACTGCCTCAACAACGCCCTCCACCACCACTACACAAATGACGTCCATTACCAATGCCTCAACTACTACTGGAAACTGGTCAACTGTACTTTCCACCACCTCTACACCAACAAATACAAATGCCTCAACTACCGCTGAAACATGGTCAACAACCCCCACCACCGCTACTACAGTACAGACAAACGCAACAGACTTACCCACATCTGAATCTCCTAGCTCTCTGCCTACTACATTATACACAACTCTGAGTACTTCATTTACCAATGCTTCAACATGGACAACAGAATCAAAGCCCACAGAAACCGTTACATCAACAGATACCTTCACAACTCAACCAACAACGAAACAGACCAAGCCAACAGCAACAACACTTCAGTCAACAACCACTTTTGCAACCAATGCTACTGCTGAAACCTCAGGTCCAACTGAAGTAACCATCACAGAAGCTTCCACTGAAACATTTACCTCTACCCAATCAACCACTCAACTTACTACCACCTCCTCAGAAGCAACAATGTCTGATGCAGTGACAACTAACTCTACGATGATGCCAACAACAATATATGACACCAAGATGTCCACAAGTGAAGGATTTACCAATGCGACACATACCACTGAACTGACAACCCCTGAAGAATCAGGCACAACAGTGATGACAGAAGAAACAGAAGAAACAGTAGCCACCGGCCCAACAACAACTACATTCATACCTACCACTGGAGAGTCAACGGTCATTGAAACTTCAACACCTCCCAGTGCGTGCCATATTTGTTCTGCATATTACTCAGTTAGTTACTCAGTTACCCTAGTAGTCACTTCCTTTCATGTTCAATCATTTCAACAATGTTTTTGTTTCTATGTTCACTGTCCTCCACTGTTGTGTTTATCAAACCATCAGCGTGTGAGTGTGTAGACCTGATGAAGAAAAAAACCTGGAGATGCGGCGAGACATGGACAGAGGACTGCTTCAATAAGATTTGTACAAATAAAAAGATAGAGTCGACCCAAGTGGTTTGTCCAGAGTCTGCAACTCCCATCTGCCCCAGAAATCAAAAAACAAAAGTCTCGGATGGATGCTGTGAAACATGGAAGTGTGACTGTAAGTGCATCCATATCTGTCTGTCACTGCTCTTTTTAGCTCTCATTTACTTTTATGTTCAAAGAAACTACTCTTATAGGTCATTGGCCTCTACATATATATTTTTTATGTGGTTAGGTAGGGTATTTTATTTGATTTAGAGTAGAAAGTGCTTTCCATCTATCTACTAAAACTATCCCTTATTCTTTCCCTTACCGTCTTTAGGTCGCTGTGAGCTATATGGGGACCCCCACTACATCTCTTTCCAAGGCGTACCATTTGATTTCCTAGACGACTGTACCTATATCCTTGTGGAGGAGCGGTCACCACGTCATCATCTGACCATTGCAGTGGACAACTTCTTCTGTGTGCCAGGCCTTGACGGCTCCTGTGCTAAGGGCATCATCCTGAAATATCAGAACAATATAGCTTCACTCAATATCATTCCACATTTGTTTGCAGTACAGGTAGCATATAACTTTCTATTTATTTATAGTATATTTCAGAATTGAAGCCTCCCATATTCTCTTGGAAGAATGAGACAGTTGGTTTAATATTGTTGTAATCTGCCCTAGGCCACTCTGAACAATGTGACCATAAAGCCGCCATATGAGGAGCAAGGGTGGAGGTTTGAGACCACAGGGTACATAGTGTCCATCTACCTCCCCGAGGTCCGCTCTTATGTATCCCTCAGTCCATCTTGGACCCTGGTGGTCAGTCTGGCAATGGAACACTTCCACAACAACACCCAAGGACAATGTGGTAGGTTGAATGGGTGTGGTTAAGTGCATACTGTACATCCATTTTAGATGTGTGTCTGTGTTCAGTGGATTTTCAGATTATGCGTGAAAAAAACTCACAGATTCTTGTGAACATGTCGGCTGCTTTGCTAAATTAGCTTGTAGGCTAACCAAACAGTGTTTTTAGCATAAATCTGCATTTAACAATTTCTGACCACTAGAGGGAAGAAAGAAAAAACAAGTTGTCTTTGATAAAGTGAAGACCAGTTTCTTTGTCCTAACCCTAAAAAAAATTAAGGCTGTGACTTGCATGCATGTTACATTCTGGAAATGTTCGCATACTGTTCATCTTTAGGAAAACTCTTGCAGCATAAATATACGTGTCCTGCTGGATATAATACCATCTGCAAGAGTGGAGACCATCAGTCATCCAATGCTAATATCAAATTATTCTACTTCATCAGATGAGTTTGATATATATATATATATATATATATATATATAATATTTTACCAGAATAATCTTTTCCTGATTTAGCGTTTGTGTATTTAGGTTTTATTTAGTCTGAGCTACTTCTGCTGTGGACCATGATGGTGTCCAAGCAATGGTTTCTAAGTTTTTGAAATGCCACTGAAAGGGTGCTATCCTGTATATGCGTATATTATATATCTGATCACACATCTCTCTGAAGCTCATCTCTCCATCCTCTTACCAGGTGTGTGTGGCGTTGGCTCATGTATCCGTAAAGGAGGGCAGATTGAGGACAACAGTTGCTGTGATAAGACGGCCTATGACTGGGTGTACGCTGATCCGCTGAAGCCAGCCTGTGTTTCTGCACCAAGGGATGTACCTTGTCACTCCATGACCACTAACAAACCAACTAGCACATCTTTCACCACCCCCTGCCCTGCGAGCCAACTATGTGAGCTGCTACACCACCCGTAAGTTACTGCATTGTATAAAAGCAGGGTGGAATGCTTTTGCTTGATTGTGACTAATGTAGACACATAGTTGCAACCACCCACAGTCCCTCTATTTCTCTAGTTTCTCTATACCTAGTTTTCAGTTTCTTTAAATTTTGATGGTGTATGATGATATATAACCTTGGCCGTCTGCCTCACTGTGTATGTTTTAAGTTGTATGCTCTATAACTGTTAAATAAAATCTATTGTGTTTCCCCAGAATCTTTTCAAACTGCAGCGTGTATGTGAACATGAACCTTAAAAAGAAGAACTGCAAGTTTGATTCATGCAGGAACGGTGCTTGTTCTTCACTGGAGCAAGCTGCTGAAGAGTGCAAACAAGTTGGTTTCTGTATTGACTGGAGAAGACTGACTAATGGAACCTGTGGTATGCACCTTTTATCCCTTCTCTGTCTATTGTATGTTTTTTCCACACTTTTCTGTGTTTTATTTAAACCTTACCGTCATGAGGGTTTTGATTAAAGTTTGAATGGGAAATTCCTCCTTTGATATTAATAACTGCAGTGTTTGTATTCTTGTTCCAGGTGTGAAATGTCCAGAAGGATTGATTTACAAAGAATGTAGTTCCAAGCTGGATGACTTCTGTTATGGAGGGTCTGTAAAGTTAATTTTTTCCAAATAACATCATTACACTTGTTGTGACGTTTGTTTCTCAGTCTATTAAAATCTAAAATGTTTCAAGATGTTGATTTCTTTTTCTCCTGTGGTTTGGCTGTACAGAGTGCCTCAGACTGGAGCCTCCCTCGAGAACAACAGTCCAGGTTGTTTTTGTCCAAGTGGCCAGTTGAGGGCGGGAAATCACTCAAACGTCTGTGTGTCTGACTGTCCCTGTGAGTAACATGGCATACAGTACAGGGCTGGCACTCACACATAAACAATGTTTGAATGTTGATTGTTTGAAATCTAATGCATGTAATGATTTCTGATCTACTGGCATTCAAAAAGTGTTAATGTAGAATTTGTTTTCTCGTCCTACAGGTTGTAAAGGGCCACTTGGTGAACCCAAACAGGTAAGAATCTTTGTCTCATCAATGTCAAAAAAGTCATCTCTGACTCTAGATTGGGTGCTTGTTTTTTATAAGTATTTCTATATCTGTCTTCCAGCCTGGTGAGGTGTGGCAGTCCGACTGTTACCTGTGTACATGTAACAACCAGACTCGGACGGAGGAGTGTTTTCTAAGACCTACTGAGCCACCTCCTACCTGCAGTCCCAATGCTGTATTGGTAAACACCTCTTGCTGTGGGGATCAGATTTGTGGTAAGAGTACTTCATAATATTTATAAAACTATGCTTTAAGAACTGTCTCAGAATTTCCTTTACTCACATGAAAACCATTTCATTTTCCAAACTTGCCTTCTGTAAGGCGCTTATTACTTCATGTGTTATTTTTCAGTTGAGAAGACATGCAGTTATGATGGAAAAATATACGAGGTATGTTGTGGCTCTGTAAGAAAACTGTTTCTTCTCTTTGAGAGGAAAATTGCATTTTAAATGGCTTGAGCATGAATCATTGCACTCTAATGTCTTGTCATGATATCTTTCTTTGTGTGTGTAGGTGGGAGACAGATGGAAGGATGCTGCCCATCCCTGCATGTCATTCAGTTGCAGCAAAGAGGGTATTCAGACTGAGACTAGAGTCTGTCCCACAGAAAACTGTCAGGAGGTACTGCACACCTTCTGCTCTGTTCCTTCAGCTAATAACTGCAACATCTTACAAGCCTTATTCTACAGTAAAAACTGATGCATTACTGCGTTTACCACCAGCTAAAGGTTTGTTTTATAATTACGATATGTCGGAGGCATTGAGTAGAGCTGCTCGAGATAATTACCATTTGAAACAGAGAAACGCTTCTTTCAAATTTATTGTGTGTAAACAGTTATTTTTTTTAATTATACATATATAAGTGCGAACTGATTGAAATTTGGAGAACAACAGAAATTTGACCTTGAGTCGCTGTTTTATTCACCAGGAGGACAGAATTTGGGATGACCAACACTGCTCCTTTACATGTAAGTTAAGATAAATTCAATAATGTATTGAAGTCATCTCCAACTGCTCACTTTGTCACTTTGAGTTTCTTTTTAGTTTATAGATTTTGAACAGTTTGAACTATTTAAGCATTGAAAGCAAAACAATTTGGAACTCTCCTGCATTCAAAGCTCACACTCATCACGCCACCTTTCGTGTTAATTTCTTCTGGCTCCAGGTAACCGGAGCTGTGCTCCGAAGGTGACCAGTATCAACATTACTGTGGACAACTGTACTGCTGCCATGGAGATCCCTGTGTGTCAGGGTCAATGTGTGTCTGAGCCCAGGTGAGAAGAAATATACCTGTCCCTGATTGATAGCAATAGTTAAAATGGTCATTTAACACATTTTGAGGTTTTTATTCTTCGTACAGCACACTGAACAAAAGCTGTGTTTATTTTTCCTCTGTCTCAATCCTTCTCTCCCCTCCTCCTTCGGTCCCTCCTCCACCCATTCCCTGTCTCCCCTCTGTGCCTCGCTTCACTGCAACAGGGTCGTGTTACGCGGTGACCTGCAGGTGGAGCAGAAGTGCCGACACTGTCAGGAGCGGAGCTCTGAGAGGAGATCAGTGACCTTGCTGTGTTTCGACCTCACCACCAGACACTACGTCTACAAGCATATCACCGGCTGTGAGTGCAGATCCTGTGGCATACTACGCTGAAAAGTACTCACACCAACCAATGCCAAAAATATATCATTTTGTATCCATTCGGCTTCCAAACCATGGACCGAGTCCTGCAGCGGCCCAGGATTCGAATCCGACCTGTGGCCCTTTGCTGCGTGTCATCCCCTCTCTCCACCCCCCTTTCCTGTCTATTTCCAGCTGTCACTTTCAATTAAAGGCCATAAAAGGCCCAAAAAATAACATAAAAAATAAAAATAAAAATACCGATCACAGAACTGCAAGTCCTCTTTTTTGTTCTTTATTAAAATCAATTACTAGACAAATAAACTGAATCATCTATTAATCATCAAAGTTTGTGGTATCTTCTTTCCATGCTGTATTAAGCCCAACTCAAATCTACTTTGCTCTGGCTTTGATCAATCCCATTTCCATGCCAATAGCATGTCTTCTAGAGGTTTAAGGGTTATTTCAGGCAAATTACAAAAAGCATAGCCTTTAAATAGTAGTATTGAGGCATGCAAGAATTTGAATTTGCCCAGGGTTTGAGATACCTTTCTCCAATAAAATAAATGTAGGTAGGTAAGGAAATGTGCTTATGGTGCTAATGGCATTGAATGATTGAAAAAGGAAATGAAAATGCATTTAAAACTGACCAAAGCAACATCTCTTTCCAGAATCCACATTAGCATTATCATCTAAATGATCCGAAAGCTTCACTGTCAACAGTTTTCTCTGAAACTGCTTATCTACAGTAACAGGGACACTCTGTTGCTGTAGATTTTTATTTTAATTCAGCCATCTGTGTGGCTATTACCAATAGATTTAAGCAAGAAATATGTAGTTTAGGTTAACTGGCCCTCTAAGATTGAACTAAATTTGCTAAAATGAAAATATGAAAGACAGCTGACCAAACGTCGAATGTTGTTCAGCAGCAGAACTTTAAACAATTTTATTGAATATCTTTATTTATAATGTCCAACAGGTTTCGTCAGGTGATGTGTTGTGCGATACTCAGCCATAGGGACACAGAGAGAAAGCCATTGTTAGGGGCTATCAATAGGACAGGAAGACTTTGATCAGGCTTTGGAAACACCCAGCCTTACAAAAGCTGAATTTCTGCAGAAGAGGAAAGCATTTCATTCTTTGAAAACAGCAAACTAACAGAAACAGCCGGCTTGTAAAATAAGCTTTGGCCAGCTTCACGCTGCTGCTGTTTGTTGTGCGTTCAAAAGGATGGATACTTGGGAGGCTTATGATGTTCACAGAGGAGGATGTGCGAGTGTGCGCGGACTGTGGATGTCTGTGTGTGTTTGCATTCAGTGAACCTCTGGACCTTCCGGTGCTGGTCGGACATGCATCCTACTGGACCTTAACCAGAGCGGTCACGTTTGGGTTTGTGTGTGTGCGTGTGTGTGTGTGTCTGTGCCTGAGGGTTGGAGGGCTTTTTATTGACATGATCAACAAGTGCACATGAGTGGCTGGGTTACTGATTACAGGTAATGTTATAGTTTGTTTGTGATAAGACTCATGCTTTGAGCACAAAGTCCTGCCAGGTTGAGCGAGCCTTCATCTGCTTTGTCACATCCTTCCCATCCCTTGTAGGACCACTGCTGCCTCTCAGGTAAATACTTTTTCTGCTTTTTCACTACTTCTAATTCTGCATAAAGTTCTCCAAGATGCACTGAGGAAATATTTAACTATTTACTTGTGGTTTTATTGTAAATCATGAATCTGTATTGTGATCAGAAATCCGACTAACAAAGTGAATTTGGTAACAAATCTTCTCCAAAAAGTATATACTAGACGGGCTAGGGACTCTTTTCTTATTTTATATTTTTTCTTATTATACTTATTTTCAGTCAATATCTAATTACACTGCAACAAACACTGATAACAAATTATCTCTTTATCTAGCCACTTACCTTTTTGAATGAGAAATAGAGAATACATTTTGGGATATTTTAAAGGAAAAAAAGGTGATCAGATGAAATTAACACAATTTGCCCCAAACTCAAACTCTGATGTAATCTTGTATTCTATTTGTATTTCTGCAGGTCCTTTGGTGGTGTGTTTTCTGTTCAACACGCAACAGCATCATGAGTGTAGAGTCCAAAAAACCACGTGAGGCTTGCTGCTCCAAGCTCAAGGTCGGTGAAATGTTACCCATCTCTCTATTGAAGTCCACTGCTTCATGTATGGTCTTATAATAATTTAAATCCTCGGTTGTGAACTCAAATCGGGACAAACCTGTGCAAAGTTGTAAAATCTCATCGTAAAAATCGTATATGTCTTGGTATGGTATTTCTAGGTCAGTATTATCTGTGTCCGATAAATGCCGCACCTGATGAGGCAGTAAAAGGCAAAGCATTAACAAAAAAGTCAAATTTTTCTCTTGGCCAGATAAAACTTAGAGACTTTGACACCAGAGACTTTTCTCGCTCATGGAATGGGGACAGAGCTGTTTATGAGTGCAAAGCCGTGTTAAAAAGTGTTAAAGGTGCACACAGATAAGGCCTTGAAGTGCTTTTATGGAAGAAAAGCAGTGGTATGGTTGCAGTGACCTATGTGCATTTCATTAGTTTACTTTGTCAATATGGCGACACAGATTATGACATGCTATGACAGACTGATCATATATCAGCTTTGCGTAGCAATTAATGCTTGTTTATGATATTGATTTCTTGCAAAAAATCACCACAACCCCTCAATATAAAGTGCGAAACCACTCTGCTTGTTAAAAAGTAAAAACATGTTGAATTCTGGAGGAACCTACATTTTGTTTAGCTGTGGGGCTTTAACTGTTGGCAAGTAGTTGCAGTTGGCTGAACGTATTCACAGAATAGTCTATGACCTACAGCCCAGTGTGATTCCCTTTTAATCTTTAACTATCTTTATGGCACGGATTTGGCTCCACACAAAGTAGGTTTGTACTGGTAAAGCAAACAAACTCGTAAAGAAAACTTGATTTACAGATTTAAGTCGAAAGTTTCACTCCATATTGCTTTATTTAATCTCTAGAACCAAAACAACGTCTTCTACACTTGACAAAATGTGGTGCAATGACTTCTTTACATTAGATTAGATTTACATTCATTGAATAAAAATGAGTGTAAATCCTATCAGTGTTGAAAGCAGGCGTTAACTACCGTTATGTCTTTAAATGTGTGTTAGGTGTCGTGTGTTTGAGCCTAATCTATCATGAGAGTATGTGATAATAAGGTAATTCACCCTTTCTCTTAACATCTGTGCAAGGTGCAATTACATCCCTCTATCCTTTGTAGTGGAATAAGCCTCATTCAAAAACCTTTCATTGCATTACTAGAACTGCAAAGAAGTAGATTAATCCTCTCACTCAGAAGTCTTTGAGGAGTGATCGTTTCCAATGTAATCATCTTACAACAGGCTCGTATTTACCATTTAAAGGTATTCTGTCTGAGGTGAAGCCCTTTTCAGTGAACCTAATGAAATCAAATCAAACGTCCGCTAACTGCTTTTATTTTACATTAGAACAGTTTCAACTAAACACTTGTTGCGTGTGTTTTCTGTGTGTCCAGCTCTTCCTGGCCTCTCTGGCATTTGTATACTTTGCCAAAGCCTTTGGTGGAGCCTACATGAAGAGCTCCATTACCCAGATTGAGAGGCGCTTTGATATCCCCAGCTCCCTCATTGGTGTTATAGATGGCAGCTTCGAAATGGGTATGTGCATTATTATTATTTTTTTTTATCATTCTCATATCTGTACACTAAATATAAAGCTACAGTTAGAGGACGCTTAGCTTAGCACAAAGACTGGAAGCAGAAACAGCTAGCCTGTTGGTCCACAGATGACCAAATCCTCCTAAAAGTTGTTGATTAATACGTAACATCTCGTTTGTTTAATAATACACAAAGACCAACATGAAAAAATGTAATTGTGGTTTTGGTGTGGGACTGTTTCTTGACCTTGTGCAGGAACTTCCTTCCTTCCTTACACTTTAGTTGTTATATAGGTAAAACAATGAGATTTTCCATGTTAATTAATAAGTTGTTAAGGTGCTTGTTAGCCTGGCCAAGAAACAGTCTGGCACATAACCCTCATGAAACCACACTTTTTACACTTTTCGTATGGATTAAATAACCCAGCTGTAAGTAGAGAGCTTTAGAGACTCTGTTCCCTTTGAACGGAGGCAGGCAAGCTGTTTCTTCCTGTTTCCAGTCTTAATGCTAAGCTATGCTAATTGTCTGACTCTAGTATTTAGCATGCCGATATGAGAGTGGTATCTATCTAATCATCTAACTTTAATATGTGTATTTTCCAAAATGTCAAACTATTCCTTTAAGCCATTAATTCATTCATCAAGTTATTTTTTAATCCTTCTCTCCCTCTCCCTTCTCTCTCTTCTCTGCCCTCCCAGGCAACCTCTTGGTAATAGCCTTTGTGAGCTACTTTGGTGCTAAGCTCCATCGTCCCAGGCTGATTGGTATTGGCTGTTTGATCATGTCTGTTGGATGTTTCCTCATCGCTCTGCCTCACTTCTTCCAGGGACCGTTAGTACACAGTTTCTTTTATCTTCTTAATATTCTAATTTTGTATGTAATACAGTGGGCTTGTTAAGGTATACCCTGCAGTAATGATACACAGCATTAATTAGAATCAAATGATATGGTTTTAGGATGCAGAGATACTCTTAACATTTAACTGAACCATAACCACAAGCCTCTTCATGCTACATGAAATATATATATAATACCATGAAAGTACAGCTAATTTCACTTATTCTAATGTATGCTGGGATTAACTTGTTTGGGGCACCATGGTAAAAAATTGCTGCTGTGCCTATATTGAGGTCCCTACTTAAAATGTGTATGTACACTGTTGCCTTCAAGTATAGTGAACATATCCAGTACAACATGTGGTTCAACGTAAGTTCAAATATAAATGTTAAAAATTAATTTTGACACAAGGTCCCGCAGGGTCGGAAGATTAAGAAATAATGCATGACCTGTCTTAGTTGATCTTGTGCGTTAGTGGGGGCAAATTCCTTACTTAATTAAATTACCTGCCTACTTTGCCCATCTGATAATTCAGCCTGGAATGTGCATCTCACTGCAATTTTGAAAGTTGTTGTTAAAGGAGATATAAAATATATAAAATGTAAAGACAGATACAGTATATTTGATGGCATGTTTGCATTTTAGTGACATTAGTTTTGCTGGTTGCCACAATGATGCTCCATCTGCCCTGTTGTCTATCTGATGTCTCCTAAAACCTTCTAAGAGTGACACTAAAGATATCCCATTAATGTTACATAATTAAGTCTACAATCCATAACTGCCACATCTAGTTTATTCACATGCTCTGTAATTCTCTA